TTCCCAAAAAAGACAAAATCCATGGTTACAACAGCAAATTTAATAAGACGTAAATTGAAGCTGAAAGGTCAGATAATAGAACAAGTGATTGAGTTTAAATATCTAGCTATCACATTATCTAGCTACGGAAAGCTTGAAACCGAAGTGGAAGATCAAGTGAATAGAGCAAACAGAGCCGCAGGCTGCCTAAATGGAGCAATATAGAGAAATAAAAATATCGGGAAAGAAACGAAAGGCAGAATTTACAAAACAGTCATCAGACCAATAATGACATACGCGGCAGAAACAAGACCCGATACAGAGAGGACAAAAAGGATGTTAAAATCAGCAGAGATAAAAACACCTAGAAAAAGTGATGGTAATACACTACGGGACAGAGCTAGAAGTACAGATAATACGACGTAGATGCAAGATGGAGAACATCAAGAACTGGGTAAGAAATAGCAGAGTAGAATGCAGCGATCATATAAGGCAAATGACAACAAATAGAGCAGTAAAGACTGCAAGAGACGGTTCCCCAAATAGAAAGACGTTCAGTAGGAACACCACGAAAACGATGGAACGACAACTTCTGTAGGCACATTGAAAAACAGACAGGCATGTCTATAAAAGAAGAAGAAGAACAACTATAAAAAAATGTAATTGGAAACATTAGTAAGCGCTACGTCAAATGTATCCAAGTGGTGGTTAGATTAGTATATGTAATCAGGTTCTAAATTGAAATTAAGCGTTACACTAAATTTACATGTACTAATAATAATTATTTGTTACATTTTTTATGTTTGTATTAATAAATATTCTTTTCTATTAATAGTTCTTTTGTAATTGAAAATTTTTAAATGTTTAAGGTACAGAAGACCTAATTTCAGTTGAGCCGTAATATGAGAAAATCAAAAACAGAGATCATGGCAACAAAAACAGTAAAGATTCTATCGCTACTGAGAGAAAAGACCGTCTTCCAATACTGGCCTATCAAAAGTCGAGCACCTTAAGATCAGAGATAAAGTGGATTTGGCCAAGCAGTACTTGATTTAAGGGTTTATATTTCTCAATAGAAAGACAATTTCAAGGGACATTAGCACCTAGAGGGACTTTGGAAAAAGAAAAGTTATTTCCTGCAATGAAAGTATTTGTAACTCAGTATCTAAAATGATAGAACTCATAACCGTATGAAACGTGCACTAAAGGCACTTATCAAACTAGTCAAAAATTGGCCCAGAGATAGATAGACAATTGTGACACTGAACATAAAACTACAATCAAGTACTAGGATAAAATGGACCGCTTAACTGATAAAACTATGAAAGATACTATTGTTTCCTACAAAAAAAGAAGTTAAAATCAGTTACTGCAATAGACAATATGTCAAGAAAACTTGAAAATATTTTTAATCAGAATTGATATATATATATATATATATATATATATATATATATATATATATAAATATATATATATATATATATATATTATATATATATATATAAATATATAAATATATATATATATATATCTATATATATATATATATATATATATATATATATATATATATATATATATATCCGGTTAAAACTTCACGAATATTCCGATGAGCCAATATGGGTAAAAGCAATCTCACGTCTTTAGAAAGAGATAGAAATATTACCATCGCGACTATAAGGCCTTCCTAGAATTCGTAAAAAACATATTCCTTAAAAATCGATTGAGATTGCAATTGGTTTCCCAACATGCGATGTAGTAAAATATCTAGTCACGTTACTTTTATCTATCCATTGGCTAGTCAGGAATACTATAACGCTACCAAGAAAATAAAAAATATAATACAGAATATATTAATGAGATTCGACGTAGTTCTACTATTTAGTATGGTGACAGTTAGTGAGAAGACGTGAATCAGTAGTTATCAGAAGACATTATAAACATTTTTCGTCATTGCCTTACCACAACACATTTCTGGTGGTATGACGGATTTCATTAACAGACTAAAGGGGTGGCAATTGGAAATCCATTCAGCCCAGTTATTGCAAAGTCGTTCAGTTACCAAATAAAAGTCATAATGTTGATTACGTCTGGTGGATGATATTTCTGTGTTCTGAACTGATGGGAAAAATGAGCTAATGAATAAATTTCTCAAATTCTAAAAATCCCTAAAATCTAGTTCACCATGAAAATAGAAAACGACAAATATATTGTACCGCCATTTGGACAACATCTCAAATCACTAAACAAAATTAAGAAATAATAAAAATATTAAAGCAACATTAAGAAATAACAAAAGTATTAAAGATAAAATATATGAAACCGAAAATTTGGGAGAAGTATTAAAACAGGATATACTATAAACATGAGAATACTATACGCACCTATACAGAACAAGACATAAACCACAGTAAAAAATTCTTAAACAATTAAACATAAAAATAAAGAATATAAACTCTGACCTACAACCAGAAATAAGAAAAACAGAAATCAAGAAAGCAATTCAAGAATTAAAAAACCATAAGTCACCTGGAAAAGACGGAATAACTGCACAGATGCTGAAGAGAGGAGGGAAAATAACTAGAGAAGTCCTACATATCCTCATGAACAAAATATAAACCGCAAAAAAAATATTCACCACAAAAGAAATACCCGATAGCTGCAACAATGCAGAAACACTATTAATGTTCAAAAAAGCTGACCGAAAGAACTTAGAAAACTACAGACCTATAACATTACTAAGTGTTGTATTTAAACTACTAACGAAGATCATGACAAATAGACTAATAACTAAGCTTGACGAATACCAAGCAAGAGAACATGCGGGGTTCAGAAAGGGTTTTAGTAGACCGAATCATAGACTTCCGAAAGGCGTTTGACAGCATAGAACATTAGGCCATCAAAAACTCAATACAGAACGGCAGAATTGATTACAGGTACACGGACCTAATAACAAACATATACAAAAATGCGAGTACCACAATAAAATTGACGAATGAACACGCTACAGAACCAATAAAATTCGAAAGAGGAGTCAGGCAGGGAAACACAATATCACCAAAATTGTTTAATCAGGCTATGGAAGACATATTTAAAAAATTTGAATGGGATACATACGGAATAAGAATAAATGGAGAGCTCTTGAACCACTTGAGATATGCAGACGATATAGTCCTGATAACAGATAAGAAGGAAAAGTTACAGAAGATGGTTGAGTAACTAGATAGAAAAGCGACAGAGGTAGGTCTAGAGATGAACTATAGTAAAACCAAGACTATGACAAACCAAGAAGACCAATTAGAAATAGTAGTCAAACAGAATAAATTAGAGCAGGTGGCAGAATACATATACCTAGGACAGATAATAAAGTTGAACAGGGACAATCAAACAGAAGAAATAAAAAGAAGAACTAGACTAGCATGGGCCTCATTTGGTAAACTATCATATATTCTAAATAATAAAAAGTTCCCTCAATATATGCGAACGAAACTATTCAATCAGTGCATTTTACCAGTTATCACATATGGCTCACAAACATGGACTTTCCCAAAGAAGAACATCGACAGGATATCCAAAACAAAAAGAGCAATGGAAAGACAGATGCTGGGTATCGGTCTTAAAGACAGGAAAAAAAACTCATGGATCAGAGGAAAAACGAAGGTGAACGATGTAACAAGACAGGTTGCAAAACTTAAATGGAACTTCGCTGGTCACACTCTCCGGCAAAAAGAAGTGACGACCTTAAGAGAACGGCAGGAAAGGACTGGATGCAGATCGCCCAAAATAGAGACCAATGGAGATTAACAGGAGAGGCCTATGCCCAAGAGTGGGTTAAGGGTGATTAGATAGATAGATTAAAACAGGAACAAATATGATCCAAGTTGCATCAGAGAATAAATACGTAGGAAAAGAGAGGTAAAAGAGGCTACACTGAAGATTCTAGAATTACGAATGCATAACAAGGAAGACGTCCTTAACACAATAGGATTGTAAAGTGATCTTAAACGGCACACCAAAGTAAGATAGATTGGAAGTCCTCAATTAAGTAGCTTAGTGACCTAGGACATCTTGATAGGAAAAAGTGGGTAAGAAAGGACGTAGAACTGCAATCTCAATTATTAAACGTTTCAGATATTTATGGCTTATTAGATAAATATGCAACTAAAAAAATCTAACAACTAATCATTATAAAATTACAATAATATAAGGATAACTATGTAAATACACAACATAAATAACCAATATAAACATGAATTGCTAGAATTCCAAAATCCAACTACACAATTCAATTAGTAGCTACAAGTCCCTGTGTCCCTTTTACTCAAGACTTCACTATTTCTTTTACAATTCCTTTTTTCCTCTATAAAATATACAATAACAAAAGATAAGAAAATAGTGTAGCTGTAGCTACAATCAAATACTTCTTGTTGGATGAATCCAAAATTGGAATAGCTAAGATGATAACAAGCTAAGGAAAAATATGATACACGAACCAGAAGATAGGTATAAATAAAACGTAGATATTATTCTATGATTACCGTCTATATTGCTCGTAGTTAATCTAAAAGAACTTGCTTAATATGCAGATCGATTTCTGTTATAGTTTATAAAGGACTCACAATACAATTGTGATAATATTCAAATATTAAATTTAATATAGTTTACTAAGTATATTTTATTAAGTTTCTCATACCTTTTTTGGGTTATACATTACGACGAAAAAAAATTAAAAATCAAATAAAATTTGTATAGCATAATTTCTGTTTTACTATGTCTTCAGTTGAGTCGACTATTTTAAAATATATCCATACACTGTACATAAAATAATTGTTAATAATTTGGTTACTTGTTTTGTTTACTAATGAAAACATTAAATACAAAATTATTAGGGCTTAACGGTATTTTTGTAGGATATGCACAGTCACATACTAAGAAACAATAAGACCCGATATAAAAATTACCGGACAAGGAAGTAAAGTAGCACGACACCGCAGGATTATAAAAAATCGCACCAGATGTCACTTCCTCTTTGACAAGTCAATTTCTCCTTGACCGTTAGCTGCGACCATAGACAACGGTATAGTTATAAATTGCGGATGAGCACTATTTCCATCTGTCGGTGCTAGACTAAGAATTACCCCGCCAGCAGAGGGCGTCGCAGCGTACATCATGCCTTGGGGTGTCTGATAAACTAGTGGGGATAAAATTGGAGGATTTGGTTGACTGGTTTGAGGTTTTGAGCTTAGGGTCGGTGTGGAAGATTGTGTTGTTACTGTTGGTTTTGATGCAAATGGTGAGGAAGGTGGTGATATTGAGGAAAAGTTTGGAGTTTCTGGGGTTGTAAATACAGACAAAGGATTTTCTGTATCCATTTCTCCGTCACTGCAACTGTCGCTAGATTCTCCGCCAGAGATTTCATTCTGCAATAAAAATAAAAGGATATTAAGATCTATTTAGGTAATTTTAGTGCTATGAAAAAATAATAAAAAATCCCGTAAAAAGGCAACTGAACATCAGATATATACAAATAATAAGAAATTTAAATAATTATAGTTAAAAATGGAGTCAAGAAAAAATTATATCACACATAAATGTGAGAACTAGACTTATAGTGATTTACATAATGGATAAAGTTTAATTCCCTACCCCTTTTGAAATGATAAATACGATGACACACCTCATTCGAATGAATAACAAAATTTGTACAATGCAGAATTATCAGCACAAAATAATATTATGTATGGCAACATATATTATATAGAAGAATAGCACACATATAGAAAACAAGTATAAAAAAAGAATTTAAAATGTTAACAAAAGGACTTGTTTGCAATAGACTAATTGTTGGCGGGGATATATACCAGCATAAAATCGTAAGTTCACAATTTTATCTATTTACAAAAAGCTCATCGAAGAAATTAGCTCATCAAAAATTTCTTGAACATTAAGAGGTGTTGTGAAACATTGAACATATATGAACTAAAACTTTTTATACAGTAGAATACAATTTATAAGACCGGTGTTACTCCGATTGTTGCACCTGCAACTCGACCAGAAACATCTAGAAAGTTTGGTGAAAACATTAAGAGCGGACAAAACTTCGCGATCAGATACATAGCTATACCAAAAGAGAGTATAGAAGGTGGAAGATATAGTCAGAGGGTTAAAATTTATCTGTGGTACTTATTTAGTATATAAGTTGCATTCCTGCATTAACCAATAGAATTAACAGAATAAATCCTAATTGAAGAAGATGGCATTGCAATTTACTTTTTATGAAAAGTTTGTATAAATTGCACGAATTTTACAGAATGAATCTATATTTACGCCTAGTTTTCATTTCCTCTTTCTAATTGTATAATAAAAAACCAGAATTTTCTAAAGTTTTTATTAAAATAAAGTTTAGTTTAGTAAACAAAGTCTTTAAAACTAAGGTAAGGCACAACAGTATATTATAAAATTAAGTAGATAAACTGATATGAGCAATATAAAACATGTGTTTGGAATAAAACATGTTTGAGTATAGTATTTAAGTACTATTAATCGGAATTTAGCAATGCAATATTAGTCCGAGTAAAAACACTATTTACAATTTAGTTTCAATATATTAATGTTTTGGTCCTGGGTCCATTTTTGGAAGCTTTTATTACGGTAGACCCGGATCCGGAGGACATGATAATAAAAAGTAAAGCAGTTTAGAGCTGCTTACTTAAAAATATAATCTGTACATCTTTGAAAAACATTATTCAATGTAATACCCAATCTAATCTCTTACACTGTATGTCTGAGAGCATTAAATGTATATATACCCAGAAGGATATCTCAAATTGAAGACGACCTAATATCATTATATTGCATAAGAGCAAATACAACAAATGATTGCTTACAACCATCACAGATGAAAGAATCTTTTATGTATGATATGTTTGGTATATCTACAAATGGTCTTTGTGCTTGATATTACTTCGACTTATAATTCTTAAACAGATAGGGAGCCAGGCGTGTAAAAAGAATTAATTCACTAAAATTAAAAAGGATGACTAAAAAGAATATGATTCAAAAATGTTTACTCTAAATATATGTATTATTAATAAATTAATAAAATGCACAACCTATGCAAGAAAGATGATAATAATTAAAACAAAATAAAGTTTCTTCTGAAAATATAACACCTATTATATAAAGCTTAGCCATAAAGCTGATTTGGCACGAGTCAAATAAGTATTAAAAAAGAAAATTTAAAGTTATGGATATAGAAACCAGGAATACATGTTGACTGAAAATGCAGAGCATGCAGAAATCAATATACAAATAATTTGATTTCGTACCAAACCATAACACATGAGTTGTACAGAAGAAATAATATTAAGAATAAGCACTCAATGGTAAGCTAGGTATGGTACGATAAAGTTAGTTTAGGCCAAAACAGAAGCAGTTCTTATTAAAAAAAAAATTTTCGAGAGATTTTAATAAAAATTACAATTTAACCAAAAAAGCGGGTAAAAATCTTAAAATTTTTGCTGTATCTTATCACACAAAAGATTGTTGTGTCAAGGAATGTTTACTTCTATCAAGTTAAATTAAATTTCTCGTTGGGAACAAACTAATAACCATAAAACAAACTCTTTATATGAAATTTTGTCATTATTTATTATTATAGCATATAAAATACTTGCAATATATATATAAAAGATAAGCTATCTCAAAATATAGATAATGACATCGGGGAATATCAATGTGGATTCAGAAGAGGGTGCAGCACAGTGAATCATATTTTCCTACTACGCGAAATACAAGCAGAAAGCTACGAATATTGGAAACCTACAATGGCCCTATTCATCGACTTTAAACAAGCGTTCGATAGGATAAAACGCAAAAAAATATACAAAGCACTACGTGAAATGAGAATTAGTGAAAAACTGATAAGAATGGTAAAAGTGACACTACGAAGAACAGAGAATAGGGTTAAAATAAATGGCAAAGAAACAGATGAGTTTGAGGTCAGTGAGGGGGTGCGACAAGGAGACCCACTGTCATCGCTATTGTTCAGTATCGTCCTCGAAGTTACCATCAGAGAAGCTGGAATCAACAGGTCAGGACTTATATATCAAAGAAAACACCAATGCTTAGCATTCGCTGACGACATTGTACTGATAGCCAGAAGTACGCAAGAATTAAAAGAAATAACAAAAAGATTAGAAATGAAAGCGAGAAAGAAAGGGATGTACATAAATGAAGAAAAGACCAAATATATGGAATGGACAGAAAGAGATTACCTACAAGAACAATATCTGACAGTAATAACAAATGAAAAAACATATAAATTCGAAGAAGTAAAAATATTCCAGTATTTAGGAGCGACATTCACGAGAAGACCAAATATGAAGGAAGAAATCCAAGTGAGAATTATATATAAGACAGTAATAAGACCTATTGTATTATATGCCAGTGAAACATGGACAATGAACAAATACGAGCAAGTCCTGCTGCAAGTCTGGGAAAGAAAAGTCCTCAGGAAAATATTTGGAGGTAAAATCTGGAATGGTACATGGATAAAAAGACCAAATATGGAATTAGAGGAGATGTACGGAGAACCGAATATCGTAGGAATCATAAAGTCACAAAGACTGAGATGGTTGGGACACATCCAAAGGATGGGAAACACGAGACTGCCAAAAAAAATGCTAATGGGAGGAATAGGAGGGAAAAGGAAGAAAGGAAGACCGAAAACCAGGTGGAAGAAGGATGTTGAAAAAGACATAAAAAAACTTAAAATACCAAACTGGAAAAATAAAGCAACAAACAGAGAAGAATGGAAAAGAATAGTAATCCAAGTTTTGAAAGCAGCTATCGATCTGGTTTGCAAAATGTAGTGTATATAATTTGCAGGAGAAAAATTCCAATGAACCGAAAGATAAATTCTACAACACCGTCGTAAGAGCAGCTATGGCGCATAGCACTAAATATATTAATCAGTTAAAGAGAAAGACGAACAACAACAAAAGATGGATCATCGATAAATTCCCAAATGAGAGAGAAAAGGTTGAAGTAGTGACAGTACGTTCAACCTTAAGAATCACAAATGCGAAAAATTGCTAAGTATATACTCAATGCATAATACTAGATATATGTCAAAAATATTCGATAATGCCAACGTATAGAGACTTCTATTTTGAACAGTTTGAGTTAATATTAGTTTTAATAGTTTAAGGTTAAATTTTTAGGTTAAGTTTTTAGGTTAAAATCCGTCAAATTTAATTTATAAATACAACGTGATTAGATGAAATCGTAAATCCAGCAGATCATTAGTAGTGAAAGCAACTGTTCCTCTAGTGGAAAATTTTTTTCTGGTTTAAATTTCTATTTAAAAAGTTTTTTTGCATAATTACTTTATTAACAAAACTTGAACAAAACTGTTTTTTATTTTTGAATTTAAAAATTACCTAAATTTAAGTTCAAACCTTGCTCTATCATTTTTCGATAAGTATTTTGGGCTTATTTTATTTTAAAATATGGTTTTCAATTTTTCAATGCAGCGCTTATGACAGGACCGGCGCTCGGGCTACGGCTTATATTCGCTCCATGCGTGACTGATGCGACACCTACCGCCTTCATCTGACAATTTTGGAGTCCCAATTTTCAGGTTAAATATATGACATATGTAACACCAAACGGAAAAGAAAGCGAAAAATCTAGTACTGGCAAATCAAGTTTTTCACGCAAAAGAGCATATAATTAAAAACAATAATAGTAAAAGTTATGATATAAAAACTAAAGTCGTCTGCAGTTAGCTTGAAGCCTTATGAAATATCATTCAAGGTAAATTATTTAAATTGTTCCTATTTCAATTGCATAAAAATAAAATTATGTGATATTTACTTTTTCATATTAATAGCACGAATTCATCTTTTTCTTTTCTCTAATTTATATGTAATCTTTGGGAACCTATAAAAACTACACTCACTGTTTTTGCTATTATTAGCAGAATTAAATACGCAACATGTATTTGCACACATTTTTGATAAAACTTATGCGTAAAAATATTTTCTCCAATATTCCAATTTTGTCATATTTCGCCGCTACGCACGCTGGCATCGTTTCAATGTACCCCTACCATGGTCACGCACGGAGCGAATAGTGTTGTGCAGATCAGCGCCCGCTCTAAGTACGCGGTTCATTAAAAATTAAAAACAATGTTTTAAAACAAAAAAAAAAACAGAATTTTATTCAGGACCTGACAGAAGAAGGCTTGAGCTTGAATTTATATTTTTCACTCTTGTTTTTGAACCATGAATCTTCATTTGTTCTTTTTTCAGTTTTAAATGATTTATAACTTGAAAACAATCAACTTTAGAGAAAACTTACATACAACACATGTTTTGTGTTCATAATGATCCAAAAAAAAAACTAACAAAATTTATCCGGGCCAAAAAAATTTATTGTCACAATTTGTTTTAAAAAATTTGAATAAGTTTTCGCCTGGGCGACCTCTTCAACCTTATTTTGGGGTATCTCATGAAAGTGATTATGCAAACAAATCTCATGGGAATATTTTTCCGAACAAACCGCGTTTTTCGCCTTTTCTCTAGTAAAACGAACTTTAAAACTTGAAAAACTGTACCAAAAACATAACGATAAGCTAAACAACTTCAAAAGTTATGAACTATAATTAATATTTCACAAATTCACTACATCTGTATATTATCTTTTTTCGAAGCTACTTAGCAATTGCATTTAACACAACATCTATTTAACGGTAGATAAGTATTTCACCTGTCTGACCGCTCAAAATAAGAGATCAGTTGAATTTGAACAACACACATGTGACTTTTTTTATCGTCAGATATTAGTGACACCGTGTTCAAACATTCACCAACCCAATTTTAGAAATTAATCTTAGTCTATAAAAAAGTAAATTATACAATATACAATATTAACTATTCCTTAAGATCATTATTAAATACAAATATACCAAAGTTACAACTATGAGTAAAGTGATCTGCAGAGTGCAAATACAAGGCGATATGTCACAAGCGTTTGAAACATATGCAGGGTTACGGCAGGGAGACGCGCTGGCGTGCCTTCTCTTTAATATAGTGTTAGAAAAGACTATAAGAGATGCCGAGTTACACAATAGGGGAACAATCTTTAATAAATCAACGCAGGTTATGGCTTACGCTGACGATCTGGATTTGATCGCACGTACTACACGAGGACTTAAAGAGATGACTTCCACCTTCTTGACAGCCGCACAAAATATGGGCCTAAAATAAACGAGAAAAAAACCAAAATATTAGCATCTATTCCAAATAACAGAGATAGAGCTAGAAACGTCGAACAAAAGTTCAGTATAGACCAATATAATTTTGAGGTAGTAAATAAGTTTACATATTTGGGTTCTCTCATAACAAACGATAATGACACATCTGAAGAAGTTAAACGGAGGGTACTGCTAGCAAACAAATGTTATTTTGGACTAAGCAAGCAGCTAAAAAACAGAAATTTAAGCCAGAAAATCAAACTAATAATATATCGAACACTCATCTTACCAGTGCTGACATATGGGTCAGAAACATGGACCATCTCCAAAACAGACGCAAATCTGCTGCTCGTTTTCGAAAGGAAGATACTAAGAAGAATAATGGGCGCATTCTGTGAGAATGGTATTTGGAGAAGGCGATATAATTTCGAATTGTACGAGAAGTATAAAAAAATAGTAAATGGTAGAGATGTAATATCCTTCATAAAAATAGGTAGGCTTAGATGGGCTGGACATGTGTCAAGAGCAAATGAAAATTACCCACCCAGACGAACTCTATTATCGGTCCCAGTGGGAAATAGGAGTAGAGGCAGACCACGACTGAGATGGAGGGACGGTGTGGACGAGGACGCAAGGAAAATCGGCGCGGCAAATTGGCAACGGTTGGCGATGAACAGAAACGACTGGCGAAATAGACTGGGGAAGGTCAAGGCTCAACTAGAGTTGTAGCACCACTGATGATGATGATGATACCAAAGTTAATTAAAATTTTGTGTTTCGGTTTGCTAAAATATTTATATTTACAATACATATTTTTAGACTTTGTAATTTTGTATGGACGTTAATATCTTTTTGTTTATTCATTTAAAGGTTCTAGATAAAAGTTTACTCTAAAATAAACTCATTTTCGCGTTTTTATTAATATATTATACTGCATTGTTATGGACATATTACAATAAAACATAGCTATAGATTGTAATAGTATATTACATAACGAGAGTTGTAAGAAGCTTATTACACGCGAGTAAAAAAGTTGCGCGCGAGCCGCGTAGCGGCGAGCGCAGTAATTTTACAAGCATGTAATAAACTTACAACTGAAGTTGTGTACTATACTTTTTCTACCATTATTTATTTCTACCATTATTTTCGTTTATAAAAATAAAAATTAAATTACCAGTATATTTACACTGACAGATTAATAATTTTTAATCTGTTAAAATAACGTCTGTTAATTCGTTTCCATGGTAACTCGACCAACTGACTTACAAGGCTTATGTGATATTACACATTTTTATAAAACTGAAGCGTAATTTTTTTTATTACGTGCTAGTCATTACGTGTCAGTATCTGTTATGATGCATTTACTTAGCATCCAAATAGTAGGTAATATACAATTTACTAGTAAGCGAGTAGAAAAAAGAATTAATTATACAAATCAACAAAGATCAGCGTAAATTACTTTGAAATAATAAAGATAATCGTTTTGACAATTGCGTTTACTTCGTCTTAACCCTTTCATAAAGTGAAACTGATATATCCGCGAAATCATAACGAGTCCGATACCCGGGAGACGTATAAGGGTGCGTTCATAACGGAGACTATGGCATCGTATCCTCGCCTAGAGCATAGCACTGACGGTGAATGCTCGCGTTTAAAATAATGAATTTATTTTACGGAAAACCGATAAGATCGATATCATCCCATGGTCCGAGCGCAGGGACAGACGATGCACTTCGAGACGGAAAACGTATTAATCAGCGAATGGATAACTTGCTGGAGCCCCAGCAAAATATTAATAGTTGGGATTTCAAGTATCAATTCTTACTAGCTCCGATACGGGTCGATACTTGTTGATTTTGCGTCAGTAAAGTCATAACTTCGTAAGCATACGCATTGTATTTAGACGTTTTTTCACAATGTTTCGTAAAAAGGATTTATCTGAAGAAGAATTATTAGAACTTGCTTTTAACAGTGATTCAGACGAAAACTTTGATGCTGGATTAGAGAAGAGCTACGGGTGGGAAATATTTGCGAACCGATGTGCAGTGATAGTGAGAAAAACCATGACAGTTTAGAAAATGACACCGAACTCGTTGTTCCTGATATTCCACAACCCAAAAGACGAAAAACAAATAAAAAAATCGACTAAAAAGTATTATATAAAGTAAAAAACGTGTAAAAACATAATTTCGTAAAAAAAATTATTTCGGAAAAATCCCAACAATAAATAAATTATAGTCTAAAGCAACATCCGACGAAATTAACATTAAAAATATTATAAAATTAAAATGATACTCAATTTTATCATCACCTTCATTTAGTTCCGACTTATTTTCAGATAAGCAAAATCACTGAACAACTGCTAACCTAAACAATAAAATCTTTAAAACTGTATAATTTTAAATATTTGAATGTGGTTTGGATGATATACATAATGAAACGTTGCTCTACTACTGTTTGAAACCAGGAAACCGGGTCTACATGTAACCAGGATATTCAAGAGTTGTTGAAGCAAAATGATGTATGAAATGTGTCAAGCCAGTGCTTTGTACAAAATTAAAAAAGTGCATTATAAATACATTATAATAAGGTATGGTTATGTTAACATAATTTCTAGACAAATATTATCAGTTATAACCAGACTCTAAAATTACATTGTAAATTTAGATTAAATGTAAGTTTTCACAGCATTTCTGTGAATTTTAAATTTTTTTACTTACCTTTAAGATTATTTTACAATACTCTTAAATTCTAATAACGTATAGTAACAATAGTATCACAAAATACAATATCAACAATACAAGTCCTTTTTTTAACTTTTGTCACCTTCGACTAGAATATAACATAATAACTTATAAAATATTGTAAAAACAAAAAATCTCTAGGCAGAAAGTGTTTTGACTACAAAACTGTTTGACAATTTGTAAAGGTCTGTTTGTAAGGTCTGTTTGTGATAAACTTAATGTTATTTTAGCTGATTATGAAGGTAATAAATATTTCTTTTGTATAATTCCTTCAAACATAAATTTATGTGGACATTATAGGGCTATATACACCTTCGGTTTTTTCATACAGGTTTTGTTGTATATGTAACAATACATTAGCATACAGGGTAATCCTATACTACAGGCATACAGGCTACTCCAATACTCCAATGCATTTTGCAGGCTAAAATTTAAGGAAAAAGAGCCCCAGGACAAAGAAGAATATCCTGGCTTGCTAACCTGAGAGAATGGTATAGAAAGACCTCAACACAGCTATTTCGTATAGCAACCAATAAAATCATTATAGCCAGAATGATCGCCAACGTTCGGAACGGACAGGCACCCTAAGAATAAGAACTAATGCTTACAGTAGGGATTGTGTCCTGTATAAAAAAAATGTAAAGCAGTGTGGGCTAATATTGCACACTCATTACATTGGTGGTGTGTCGGCTAAATCGTGAGGGTCAAGGTGCTTATATAAACTACATTCAGATTTCAAAGGTATTTTAGGAGAACAGCACTATATATTGGGTCTTCATCTTCTTCCTAGCCTTCTGTCGTCCATGTTTGGAGATAGGCCTCTCCCAACTCCTTCCATCGGTCTCTATCCGGAGCAACATATTTACAATTTGTTCCGGCTATTCTTTTAATGTCATCAACCCATCCCATATGTGGTCTTCCTCTTGGTCGTTTACTTTCGTAAGGTCTCCAATGTTGTATTGTAGTATTCCAACGTTGGTCTTTCTGTCTAGCAGTGTGGCCCGCGAAGCTCCATTTAAGTTTGACAATTTTTGTTTTTATGTCCTCGACTTTTGTTTTGGATCTTACCCAGTCGTTCCTATTTTTATCTGACAGTAGTATACCTAACATTGCTCTTTCCATTGTTCTATCTGTTGTGGCTAGTTTATTCATGTTTGCCTTGGTTAGGGTCCAGGTTTGACATCCATAGGTCATGATAGGAAGGATGCATTGGTTAAACACTTTGCTCCTCAAGTATTGGGGTATTTTGCAGTTCTTAAGTATCCAACTAAGTTTTCCAAATCCTGTCCATGCTAGTCTTGCTCTTCTAGTAATTTCCGCACTTTGGTTCTCTTTTTTAAGTCTCAGGATTTAGTCAAACTATAAAACTTAACAAAAAAAAAACAAACAGCAGAGATAAAGAGACGAGTTAGACTGGCATGGGCGCCATTTGGCAAACTAAGCTACATTCTTAAAAACAAACGATATCCACAGCATATTAAGACCAAAGTATACAATCAATGCGTACTCCCTGTTCTTACTTATGGTTCCCAAACGTGGACATTTACAAAAGCAAACATGGACAAAATCATAAAAACCCAAAGAGCAATGGAAAGACAAATGTTGCACATAAGACTAATGGATAAAAAGAGAAACGAGTGGATAAGAGAGAAAACAAAAGTGAGGGTTGTTAGACAAGAAGTTGCAAATTGAAATGGAGATTTGCCGGGCACAATATAAGACAAAAAGAAGACCGATGGAATAAAATTCTTATAAGTTGGAGATCGTGGGAATATAAACGAAGCAGAGGAAGGCCCCATGTATATATATATATATATATATATATATATATTATATATATATATATATATATATATATATATATATATAGCATCTTGTTACAATTTGTATCAGCCCAAGTGATCTGATGAGGCTGGGATAGGCCGAAATTCGAAACGCTTTATTGATACCAATTCGAGCGCGGGAAGTTTAACGAATTTGTCCTCCTATGCCATATATTTGGTCATTTAATTTAATCTTTTATAGAGAGTACTGATTAATCAGTTCTCTTGCAACATCAAGAGGAAGCAAAACTAATCTGACTTGACAATGGTAAGTGTGACCTTGCCGAAAACCTCGTCAAAACAATCATCATCATCTTTGGCTCGACAATCCTCTGTGGATCTTGGCCTGCTCTAAGATTCGTCGCCATTCTGATCGGTTTTTGGCAACATGTTGCCATCTTCTGATTTTTAATATTCGTAAGTCGGTTTCTACTCCATCTAACCACCTAATTCGCGGTCGGCCTTTACTTCTTTTTCCTACAGGTGTTCCTGTGGTTAGCTTTTTAGCAATGGTATTTTCTGGCATTCGTATTATGTGTCCAGCCCATCTAAGTCGCTGTGTTTTAATGAACGTTATGACATCTGGCTCATCAAAGAGCTGATACAATTCAAAATTATATCTTCTGCGCCACTGCCCTTGGTCGTTTACATCTCCAAATATTTTGCGAAGTATTTTACGCTCAAATATTCCCAAAAGTCTTTCATCTTTCTGCGGTAGTGTCCATGTTTCTGCTCCATATGTAAGGACCGGCCTCAGCGATGTTTTGTATATAATAATTTTAGTTCTTCTTTGAATGTTTCTTGAGTGGAAATGTTTTTGGAGTCCATAGTATGCCCTATTTGTAAGATTTATTCGTCTTTTGATTTCTTCGCTTGTTTTATTGGTAGCAGTCAATAGCGACCCAAGGTATGTGAAGTTGTCAACACGTCAAAGGTATGACTTCCAAAGACTGTTTCTCGTTCTTCATTTGCTATCGGATCCTTTGTAACCAACATGTACTTGGTTTTGTCTTCGTTGATGACTAGACCGACCTGTTTCGCCGCAGTTTCCAATTCTAGGAGATATTGCTCAACATCTCGCTTGCTACGCCCTACTATGTCAATGTCATCAGCATATGCTAAGACTTGCATCGATCTATTGTAAATAGTACCGCCATCCCTAATTCGGCTTCTAACTTAGACATTGTCATTCTCGTTAGTCGGATAAGTTTCTCTGGTATACCAAACTCATGCATTGATTGGTATAGCACTGTTCTCTTGACACTGTCGTATGCGGCCTTGAAGTTGACGAATAGGT